GCAAACTTTGTCCTTCATCCACTTCGAGCCCCTCCCCTCATATTCTTTTCAACTTCAATCCATTATTTACCAATTAAACCCCTTATATAATAGTTCATTACAATTCTAGTCCTAGAAGTTACCACTTGACCCCTAACATTCCAAAATCCTTTCAATCTAAGTTCAATAATTACCAAGCACACCATGACTTTTAAAATCCCTTTCAAATTAAATCCAGAACTTACACTTTTAACCCCCAACATCTAAAATTATTTCATTTGGCTCCCCGAAACCTACGCCCCGCTAAATAATATGAATTTATTGCGACTATTCGTTCATCAAATTTTATCTTTATTTATTTATTAAACATGATGTTACAGCAAGAACTTAATAGCTTATTGAAAATCCAAATTACACAAAAAAATCTTATAAATACTTGATTTGTGGTAGATGAGTAAAGATTAAAAACAAAACCAAAGAGAAAGAGAAAGGGACATAGCCTGCCATTGATGTGGTCTCCTCACCTCCAACCAAACCCCTAAATAAATGAATTAAAAAAAGTACTTGAAATACCTTATTGTTATTAACTTGTTTGTTGATTGCTTCCAACTTTCAAAGGAAGAGAAAAATGTTATAGAATGGATTAAATCAAGCTATAAGATGATGTATTATCGAATTCAATATCATTTTCATATAAAAAAAATATAAAACTTACTCTACAATTCGATTTTGATTATCCAAGAATCTAATTTTGATCTATGCTTCCTTCGATATTGTTGAATCAAAACCTTGTCATTGCCATTCATTATGTTTCCTAGAAATCGAGAACCCAAAAAGAAAAACACTGGTCGACTGTGGTCTACTGGTGGTGGTCTACAGACGATGCCTGCAAGAGTGAGAAAACCATTATTTCAGTCGACATGTGAGCTAAATCCATAAGAAGATAAGTGAATAACTGTTGTTATAGAAAAGAAACATATTACATGCGTCATTTGTGGTCTCAAATCTCTAATTTTTATTACACACACACATCAAAGAGAGGCTATGGGTAAGTGGAAGAAAAGACATATAGAAGATGCTCCAACATGTAGTCGTCGCTTCTGTGACGAAGGCATACCTGGTGGCGGTTACAGGGATGAACGACAGTGATGACGACAAGATTTAAGTGGATGTGTCGTGAAGGTTTTTGTGGTGGAGGTGAAAGGTGACTGAAGAAAGTCAGATGAAATCCTAAGACGAAAATACAGATCGTTGAGGTTAGATGTTGAAGATCGATGAGTCTGTCAGTGGAGCAAGCAGTTTGAGAGGGTAGCATGGAATGCCAGACAACAAAATGAAAATAATAGTGATATGATAGTGGTCGTCTCCAAAAGACAGAGGTAGATGAAAGCAGTAGAAGGTGGTGGAAGCTAATTCAAGTAATTGGGCGAGGAAGCTGGTGGGTGGAAGGGACCAAAACTGCAAAAGTTACAAAGTACTGTGGCAAAATTCTATACCTAGGAAAAAATGGACCATATTTGTCAAATTATAGGAAATAATGGGCTAAAAGTGTCAAAGACACAAGGTTACTATTCATAAGAGACTTAGATTTAATATATATATATATATATATATATATATATATATATATATATATATATATATATATATATATATATATATATATATATATATATATATATATAACTAGGAAAGTTTCCCCATGCTACGTATGGTTTGAAGTCTTCAAATTGGTCGGACTTCATCGTTTTCAATTTTTATTTTGGGAGTGAAAATGGAAGGTGAACTAATAGACGGAAACTGTCAAAAAATCAATTCTCCATCAAGGGATAAAAAGAACCTAAATTTAAATACGAGGACGAAAAGTAAATAAAACACAAAGTAGTGTGGCAAAAGTCCTAAAGCCCAATAAGTTATTGTTCTTAAGGATATATATATATATATATATATATATATATATATATATATATATATATATATATATATATATATATATATATATATATATATATAGCACGTGTTCGACACAAAGCATTTGAGATTTTTAGCTTCTAGCGTTTGACAAAATGCATTATTTTGAACAGAAAGCCTCGTTTGATACTACAATCTTCTAGCGTTTAATTTAAACAAAACGTTCGAAATCCAAATGAAATGTACCATAATAATAATAATAATAATAATAATAATAATAATTGATAAAAATGGTATTATGTTAATTGACAAGAATTCATGGTTAACATACGGTTCATTTTAGCAACAACCACCGCCTAGTGGTAATCGCTCTACAACGGTGGTCATCGGTAAGACAGTAACCTCAAAATAAGCCATGGAGGCCGGCGCTCTTTTCAGAGCTCTAAAACCTTGGAATATGATTTTCAAGAAGCCCATCGGACTCCGATGCTCGTCGTCTTTCAAGTCTCCCACTACGCTCTACACAGGTCAATCAGATGATCAATCACTCATTCCGATTCTAATTACCTTCTGTTTACCACATTACTTCGATTAACATCAATGTTAAGAACCCTAATTCGATTTTTGTTGCAGCAAATGGAAGAACAGTGAAGAGAGCGTACGACGGTTTGTTGTTGGATGCAGGCGGAACACTTCTGCAATTGGCAAAACCCGTCGAAGATATCTACGCATCGATCGGTCATAAATATGGTCCGTTTCTGGTTTTTTCATCACTTCATCTATCAATTTCTGTTTCAAATTACTTTACAAACTATCTATACATGTTAATGTTGCTCTTTTTGTTGATTTCAATAGGTTTAAATGCAACTCCAGCTGATATAAAACAAGGGTTTAAAAGAGCTTTTTCTGCTCCATGGCCTGAAAAGCTTCGTTATCAGGTGACATTGACACATTTAATCTCTTATTCTCCATTTCATACTCAACCATTATCATGAAAATCTTGAGCTTTTTTGCTATAATTTTACAAAATTATACTTCATTTTTTGATTATTAGGGTGATGGGAGGCCATTCTGGAAGCTCGTCGTCTCTGAAGCCACTGGTTGTTCCAATAATGATTACTTCGAAGAAGTTTATGAGGTGATTCACCTAATAACTCACTTTCTTTTCTACTTTTAGTTGATTTACACTCTCGATGAATGTTCATCTTTTACTCTTTAACCAGTATTACGCCAATGGTGATGCTTGGCACCTTCCAGCTGGAGCCTATGAAACTATATTGATTCTAAAAGAGGCCGGAGGTCAAAATCATCAAGTACTCTTATATTAATCTTTCAATGACACAAAATTTAAAGAGTAATTCATCTATTTGTTTATCTGAAATCCCAAATTTTCAAAATTTTGATACAGTTAAAATGGCTGTTGTCTCCAATTTTGACACCCGCTTGAGGAAATTGTTGCAGGAACTTAATGTTATTGACTTGTAAGTATTAATTGGAGTCAATTAACATCATCTGTTTATCTTGAATTTGTTATTTTGTTGTTAGGTTTGATGCTGTTATAATTTCTTCGGAAGTTGGGTTTGAAAAGCCAGATGCAAAAATATTCAAAACTGCTTTAGGTATGTATGCATTACTTCTATATAAAAAAAGGGTAAAATGGTCATTTACTCTTATTCAGTCCAAAAAGAAACAAATGGTTGGGGCTATTTCTTTCTTCTTTTTCATTAAGTCTTGTATAGATAAAATAGCTGAATGTGTGCTAAGATTAAGTGTTGCATACATAAGGTTTGATATAATAAAACATACAACCGAATCTCGTTGTGATGAAACCAGCATTTGTTCACAACATTCAAAGATAAAAACAATCAACTTGTTGAAACAATATTCTATTTTATCAATATACACATAAGGTTTGATATAATAAAACATACACACAAATTTAAAAACTGATTTCATCACAACAAGATTCAGTTTTGACATAACGGCTGATTTCATAACAACTTGTAGATTTCGAGTTTTACACAATTTTCGACTTTTATGGGCTGATTTCAAGTTTTACACAACAATGAATTTCAATTATTACAATGAATTTCGAATTTTAAGGGCTCATTGAGAACATGTACAAAGCAATACCTGAGGATGGAAAGAAATACTGAAATAGCAACAAGGGAACATAACTCAGGAAGAAGACATCAAACAGACTCTAACTAAGTCAACAACTATCAAACGACCCCTTAATCTGTTAACAAATAACCATATTACCCTTGTATATAAAAATGATGTTTTTTTTATTAGAATATGGATTGTCGATGATAATGTAGATGAGATTAATGTGGAAGCTTCAAAAACTGTACACGTGGGAGATGATGAAAAGGCAGATAAATGGGGAGCAAAAACTGTTGGTATTGACTGCTGGTAATTAGTTTAAATATTTAACTATATATAATTACATTATTTATTAATTTTTAATTAAATAAATTATGATATAAAAACGATATTATTGTTTTTCTCAACAGGTTATGGGGATCCGAAGTGAAGACATTTTCAGATATCCAAGATCGCATACTTGTTCCTGAATATAAATAAGATTAACTTTTGGCCAGTTTATTTTCACTAAATGATCTTTTAAATATTTGATTAATAATTAAACACACCTTATGTATGTACGTACTCGAGTAAAGTTGAATGTTGTGATTATTTTACATTAATCAACATTTTTTTTCCTGTTATTCTTCAATTGTTTGTATAATTCAAATGTTTTCTCATTAAATTAGTCACTTAGAAAATTTCTTACACAAGTTTGAAGAGCAATCTGTATATGATGCTATCATGGTTTATGAATAAAACAGCTAATTTTGAGAAAAATAGGCCATAGTTTATGTAATAATACTTTTTTTTTTTAATCATGTAGTACTTTTTTACCTAAGTTAATGACATTTTTAATCTTCTCCATCTATACAAAAAAGGGAAACATTTGACTGATTTTGATTATTAAACTATGATAAAATACAATAGCTATTAATGGATCAAAATATATTATGTAAAACGAAGAAAATATTATATAATTATATATTATATAATATAGAATAGACGAAAATAAATTACAATATAAACGAAATAATTTTTATGCGTTTGTTTGTAAATAGTAATTTTAGCAGTATCAACTCTCAAGTCTCCGAGATTTCCCTCGCCAATTCGCCATGGCGTCTGCTTCATATTCAAGCTAATTACAAGATTTTAATAATTTCTCTGTTCTCACTCCAAAATCTTCTGCTTAACTTTCAAGCTAATTACTAGTTTTTAACACCAATTTATACCCCCAAATCAAATCAATCCGTTTCACTGCAATTGATCGGCAACACAGGTTTGTTTTCTGCTATATTTTGGTCGAAATCATTCGTTCTTTCATTCATTACTTCTGAAACGATCAGTTTTCTCAAATAATTTTATCTGGTGGCTTTCGTAATCTGCGACTGCGAGTTCAGAGTTTATGTTTTTGTGGAATACCTAGAAAATTATTGCTATTGTAACTTGTAAAACGTGCATTAGAATTTGTACATTTGGAACTGATTTGGCTGATCACCTGTATAAAATCTAATACTTCAAACCGCAAAATCTTGTACATATATACAGCCTGTGTCTCTGTGATATGATTTTATACAACCAAAATCTATCACATTCCAAATTCAAATGCTCTCCAAGGTACAAAATCTTTCTACAAATCATTATCGAATGAATCCATCCCCTTAAACAGATATATTTTCATCGATTTTGAAGTTCAAAAACTAGTCTATTTGACTCGTAAAAGTCAAAGTTGAGCTCTTTGCCTCAAATTTGTCACTAACAATGCTTAAATCGCTCATTCAAATTGTTAGCAAGCATCACGCTTTTCCTCATTTTGTTTCATTAAGTTTTACCTGAAGGCTCTCTATCCGTTTTTAATTCCATATTTTGATATAAATTTTCATTTCTAGCCATGTTCTATAAAGTATAAACCTAGTGAATCTTTGCAGCTTTTCATAACAATGGAACAATTCCCAGAAAGACCACTGTTTGGTGGAGCAGTTTCCACTACTTTCCCACTTAGGTTTGAGGTTAGTTTTGTAATTTACCTTTCAGATCTCTATTTCTTTAATATACATTCTTCACTGAAAGTTCAAAGTTTCAATTGTAGGATGTGAGCAATATTCGTGAAGTTCCTGATCATCAGGTTTGTTTCTTTCTTCCATAATTTTTTCCAACTTCAGTTTAATCCCAAATTGACTGATAAATTGTGCATCAAATTATATTTTTCTTATTTGTTTTTAAATTTTTATTTGTTCAGGAGGTGTTTGTGGACCCTGCACGTGATGAAAGCCTGATATTTGAGCTTTTAGAATTGAAACATGATGTTGAAGACAATGGAAGTGCTACTTGGTTTTTACAAGACCTTGCTAGAGAACAAGGCGCCGAGGGCAATATCGTAATTTCCTTCCCCAGTATTGATCAAATATCTTAAATACCTGTTATTTATGTTAAAAAAGAAAAATAAATCTTTTGTTTTTATTTATTTGATCCAGGTGACCGAGCAGTCAGCAGTGTTCGAGGCTCCTGAACTCCAATTCAGAAACTTGCCAGCTGTCATAACAACTGCTACTGCCCAAATGGTATAAAAAATAAATCTTTTTTTATTTTTTTTTATTTTTTATTTTTTATTTTTTATTTTTCTCTTAATAAGCCCATATATTGTAATTCCTTTAACAAATTCTAATTCCTTTATCTATTTCTTGTTGTAGGCCATCTCTAAAGCAAGACAAGGAAGAGAAGCACAAAATCTAGTGAAGGTATCTTTTATAATTTCATAATCCAATCCACCATTAAATTGTTTTTTAAATAATGTCAAATTTTCTTAATTTTATTTAAAATTTATTTAGGTATACTTGGCCAATTTGAGACTCAAAGGAGTTGGGACAGATGTAGTTATTACTGCATACGAGCCTGTCTTCATAAAGTACATATCCATTTTTTTAAAAATTTTTTAAATGTGAATTTATGAACCAAATTTAACCATGTTGTGTTGTGGTTGCAGCCCATTGAGTGAAAGTGCGAGCTCGGTTGGAGCTGGTTTAACCGTGCCGGCTGCACAGTCTGGTCGAACCGCGATGGTTGAAGTTTTTAAACAAGCGGTCTCTTCATTTAGAATTAATGATTGGAATTTGTTCGGTGCTGATGCCGTTTGAGCAAGTGTTATCTGCTATCTGTTATCTGCAGTTTATCTGTTGTGTCTGATAAATTAGGGAAAATTTTGATGTTGAAAGTTTTTGTTTTCATGATTTTCTTTATTAAGTTGTTTTTTTTTTTTTTTTTTTTTTTTTTTGTGTTGAGTAAAAAAACACATGTATATGGTCTCCATGGATTTAAGTATTGCTCACATAAATTAATAAGCTTTTAGATGTTTTTGTTTAGCGCTTCCATTTGGTTCACTTGGTTATTCTAAATTGCTAATTGATGTTTTTTTCAGCAAAACACCTATTTGGGTTGTGAAATGTGGCTTTGGATTTCTGAAGAACGGTTGCATTAGAAAGGTAATGGATTTTAATGGTGTTGTGAGAGAACGAAAGCGTTGGACATTTGGTTTGTAGTTATCTTAGGGTTCGTGAAAATCAAACGTGTGTCTACGCTTGGATTGTGTGATCCACATGATTCAATAATTATATAAACGATAAACAAATAATAAAGGCTAATATTAATTGATTAATTTGTTGAGTTTTTCCTTATTAGTTATTTTTTATGTACGAAGAAAACCCAACAATTGGGGTGAAATACAAGGCTTGTTGCCTTTATATTTCTAAAGATAATTAGTTGAAAGATTAATTTCTCTTATATATTTAGTTATTAAATGTTTCTTTTATGCGAGCTACTATTCAACTTCTTCAAAAAAATACAATTATGATTGATTATAATGGGTTTTGTCGGTTATATTGTTATCTTTTGAATAATTTGAACAGATCGAATGATATCACATACAAAAAATTTAGTGATTAAATATATGCAGTTAAAAAGTTGGTTACCTTTACAAATTATTAACCATTATTTTCCCAACTTTCGTAAGGCTTGAAGGTGTACTACAATACCTTCGAGGGGTCATGAGGTGTGATACGGCCTCAATGTTGTCTCGTTAACACCACGTCTCAAAAATACATATTTTAATGTATAATATGTATTTTAAATAAACAAATTGTGGTATTAATTATGTAAATTCATGTTTTGTTTATTTATTGTAAATATATGAACTCTTGAAATGTCAAATATCAATGATTTTCAGCCAAATGCGATATTGTCATTGTATTGTACTAATAATGGCCGACTCAGAGAATTGGAGGGTGACGTGGCCTCGGTGTTGTCTCGTTAACACAACGCCTAAAAAATACATATTCTAATGTATAATATGTATTTTAAATAAATAATGTATCGTACTAATTATTTATTTAAATAATTAGAACAAAAATTACAAAGATCTTCTCTTTCATCTTCTTCTATTATAGGTTCTGAGGGAGGTGCCCCTACCTAATCTAGACATCTTTGGCCTGATTACCAACTTCTACTATAGGATCAGAAGGGATTGTCTTCGTTGCTATTGTGATTTAGTTTCCAAGAATTCACAAGTTCACCCGCTCGAGCTCTTTGGTTGTGACTTCTTCTTCTCCTGCTTCGCCCTTGAGTTTCTCTTTTGCCATTGTCAATTTCCCTATACTTCCACACTACCTTGTAAAATAAAGTCCTAAAAAAGTTAGAAATTAGGTAGGGTTTATAGTGGAGATTTGGATACCTCTTGGACCGCGTAAACACTTTCTGAACTGATATTTCTAACCTATGCTCGGGTTACAATGTAACATCACAAAATTTAGGACTAAAAATTTCATTTTTAATATAACGAAAACACATTTATAACTTTGTTCACACATTGAAAAGCATTTCAAATAAAACATTTATCAGAGTTCATTCCCAAAAGTCACATATTGCGGAAAACACGGGTGTATGCGCTGCGATCGTCCCGAACTCCCTTATTTGAAAACTGGAGGTACCTGAAACCACAACTGAAAACCATAAGCACGAAACTTAGTGAGTTTCTCAAATACCACATACCATACAATAAACATACTTCCTAACATATCTGGGTGTTAGCCTACCCCTTCGGTCTCTTTCAACCGCATACTGCCTAGCATATTTGGGTGTTGGCCTACCCTTTCAGTCTTTTTCAACCGGATACATGGTCTATTTCACCCCTACCACTACCACATAATATCCTAACATATAACCACATAATTCAAATACTGTCATACATAACCGTGAGCTATGCATATCATTTATATATCATAATCAATAAAGATGCTATATGTCGATACATAGTCTTGCCATTATATTACGGGCCGCCTCGTGGTCTTTCTTGCCAAGTCGGGGGCCACTCCGTGGGTCTTACAAACAAGTACCAAGAGCCAACTCCTGGTCTTCCATGCAAGCATCACAAAGATAACTAACATACATACTGTTCTACTTAGCTAATTAGCATACAATATACCAGGAGCCACCTCCTGGTCTTTCATACATAATGCCTAGGGCTAACCCCCAGGTCTTCCTACAATACATAAGACAAATGGATCGACATTGGTGCCTTCCCATACAAGTAGTGAGGAGACTCACCTTGAATGTTGAAGCTCACTGCAAAACCCTTAGCTGCTGCCCTGATAACTCCCTAATTTATCAATACCAAAATATCACCCAATTAGCAATTGGGTCTCAACCATGATCCATAATCCTTACTTGGGGTGGAATGACCGTTTCACCCGTAACCCATCAAGGCCGAAACTATAAAATCCATGAAAGCCCATCAATGGCCCAATCTTCCAAATTGGGCCCAAACCCTTACATGTAACTAACCTTTAGAATTCATTCGGTACTTCATAACCCTCCAGGGGTCAACCTTGGTCAAAGTCAAGTCAAGGTCAATGTCAACATCCAAGTCGTGGTCAAAGTCAACGCTCCGAGTTGACTCAACTCATCGAGTTATTCCTTCAACTCGTTGAGTTTCCGTATCCCACTAAATCGTGATATCTCGCATCAACTCGTTGAGTTTTCCCCAAACTCGTCGAGTTCTTCCACTTCAACAGAATCGGGACACTTCAAATTAACTCGTCGAGTTAATTTGAAGTGTCCCGTTGAGTTTTCCCCAAACTCGTCGAGTTCTTCCACTTCAACAGAATCGGGACACTTCAAATTAACTCGTCGAGTTCCTCCATGAACTCGTCGAGTTCTTCAGTCTAAATCCCCTTCTTAATGCATTAAGCCATTATTCTTCATATCTGGACCCAATACTCTAGATCTAGACTGGAAATACCTTTTAGAAGGATAAAGTTTCCAACTTTACCCATTAATCCCTTCATAAAGAGAATAAGCTCAAGCCCTAACCCAAAAAGGGCCAAAGTCTTAATCCAAAACCACCAAAACTACAAGGTAGACTATGAGGTCATAGATTTGGACCATAAGAGTCAAAATATCACGTAAACTCCTAAACTTTGTCCACATGCATGGCTATTTGGGGCTTGAAAGGCCCAAACAAGAGCTTAGAGGTTGCATGGGGCTTCTAAAGCCACAAAGTTGGCACCTTTGTGCCATGAGAGCCTCTCAAGGTCGTAGATTTGAAGTGTTCTCCATATGGGACGTCCAACCCATCAATAACCAACTCATTTGGATAAAACAAGCCAATGAACCCTAAAATGGAGATCTAGATGACTACTAGACAAGGTTTAAGCTTTATACCAGAAAAGTGTTGTGGATGAGGCAATGATTCTGGATCTATATGCTCCTTCTTGTGTCTCCAAGTTCTTCCTTCTTCCAATAGCTTCAACACTCATCAAAAACACTCAAAATGACTCACAAACTCTCAAAATAGCTTTAGGCTTTCGAGATTTAGGGTTAGGGACTTGAAGGCTGGAAATCAAGCTAAACCCTAGGGCTTAAGTTGTTTAAATAAGACGCAAAGCCCCGATTTTAGGGTTTCCCAAACCCTATCCAACTCGTCGAGTTGGCCCTCCCAAACTTCTCGAGTTGGTTTTTAAATTCCCGTTTGTCTAATTATTCCAACACATCGAGTTCTCACCCTTGAACTCGACGAGTTGGCCTCTTAGTTGAATATTTTCTTTCCTTAATTAGCCTTCTGGATTCCGGGTGTTACATACAAGAAATCAAACCTAGGATAATCCCAAGGGGACACTTATGAATCTAGGCACAGAAAACGTAAGCCAAACTGCTAGAGAATTCTAATTCTGTATGAAGAAAAACAAGAGCTAAAAGGTATTCCCCTTCAAAGAGGAGAGTCGTTTATATAGAAAACGATATATAGGGTTTCTTTTTTAAGGTTGGCCGTCGTGGGTTTCTTTAGAAATTAATCAAGGGAATTTGGAATTAATGAGGAAATCAATGGTTTTCAAAAGTGAAGATCTTAGTTAGTTTTACCATAATCTCCATCAAGAATTCGATTTTTCCAGTCAGGGGATTTGCCCCTTAGACCCCGCCAAAGGGGCGCTACCCTTTTAGAAACCCAGAACCTAGGGGCATTGCCCCTGGACCCGCGACTTGTCATCGAAACGACTTTTAATTCGATCTTACACATGTATGCATTCGTGTACATACCCTAACATATATTAGAGTACAAATTATGAATCCCCTTACCTCACATGTAAGTTCAAATTACACAAAATGTCATGGTGACACTAAAATCACCAACTATCCTCCCCCATTTTAGTGAAACCCTTGAACAAGCATAACATTATAAAAAAAATCAAACTAGTACATTATTGAAAATTTCGCAACGATTGAAAGGTGTTCTAAGAATTGAACCCATAAACCCATTTGAATACCAGAAAGTAAAATACATACTAGTTTATTGAAATTTCTAGCAAAATACAAGTTGACACTATTATTAAGCCACGTGTCGTAATCCTCTCATGATCGTATCAAGGTCGAGTCTACAATCTATTGAAATGCAGTTACCTTCACAATCACATAGGTAATTCCTTTCCATATATTTGGACATATATTTAATCAAAGGAATTTTTAAGAAGTTAAACTTCAACTCGGTCAACTACAGAACCGAATACATTACCTGGGATGTATACTTCATGCATTCCAATCTATAAGTGTTAGATTTCCACATTGAACTTAGCTCTTAATGTTTTATTAGAAGGGAATTGGGAGTCTCACCATTACAAAATTTAGATGGACTTTAATCCCATCCTAATCATAGACTTGTGTACTAAGTCTCTTGACAAACCGTTAGTCAAATGATCTGCCAAATTATGTTGCGATTTCACAAACTCATCCAAAATTACACCATTCATGATTAGTTCTCTAACCATATTGTGTCAGACACCTAAGTGTCAACACTTGTCATTACACACTTGATTATAGGCCCTGCCCAATGCAGCAATGTGATCACAACTGATAGAAATAGGTGATATCGGTTTAGACCACAAAGGAATCTTATAGACTAACTTACTTATCCATTCAATTTCATTACCAGTA